TAAGCCCTAAGTTCAAATCCCAGGACCAGCATATACACACACACACACACACACACCCCGATAATATACTGGAGGAAAGTTAGCTCAAGTTTATTATCTTATTAGTATTAATAGGTGTTATTTCAAAGGACACTGTGAGAATTCTGTGGGGATCATAAAATCTTGAAATAATTTGCTTTGGAATTTCAATCTCCTTTTATAAAAATATTAAATATTCTTAAATTTAATTGGGAAATTACAGAAAATGTAAACATAATTAGTCTAACTTGCTGTTTTATAATAACATATTAAAGGGCAATGAATTAATTAATACATCTAGGAGGGTGAATAATTGGTCTAATTATCTTGAGGTTTTGTTTTTTTTACTGTATGAAGCAAATTATGAAGTGAAGCTGAGAAAAAAATCTGAAAAGTCACACTATATGTATCTATGTACATACCACATTGAAACTTCTTTGTTCCTTAACATACACTAACAAAACCTTTTTGGCCACCCAGTATGTTTAAGAAGTTCTCCTGCTTATAAACATGGAGGTCTAAAGACTATTTTTGCAATCTGCCTTTTAACTAGAGCTCAGACAGCAAGGCTTCTCCAGTATTTTGCATGATCAGAGTTGGCATGCAGAATTAGTCATGAGAACAGAGTACTATCAGGGCACTCTCTGGGGCAAGGCAGCAGTGCGTGGTTGTGGAAACCAGGTCCTTTGGCAGTACTGGCAGGTACGGTGATGGCGCCTGAATCCAGGGCAATGGGCTAGGTGGTGCTATGTTCCATATCTGGCCCATGTTGCCCGGAAGTATTGTGCTCACTGAGCCTGTTTTGTGATTCCTGACTGTATGGCCCAATCCCCTGAATCTGATTTTCTCAGAATCCTGAAGTCACTAACGAAACTCTCATTAAATAAATTTCTTTTTAAATAAGCACAAAAAATCTGAAAAGTTGCATTCATTTGCATGTGTGTGTATGTGTGCTGATACAAGGGCTTGAACTAAGGGCAGCCTTGGACACTGTTCCTTAGCTTTTTTCACTCAAGGCTGGTACTCTACCACTTGAGCTGAAGTTTCACTTCCATCTTTTTGCAGATTAATTGGGAGATGAGAGTCTCATAGATTCAAAATGTGATCCTCAGATCTCAGCCTTCTGAGTAACTAGGATTACAGGTGTGAGCCACTGGTACTTAGCTAAAAAGTTAAATCTTGATAGTTTATGACTCTGCTCTGAATAACAGCTTGTTTAATCTGATAACCTATGGTTGGCGATGGTTACTTTTATGAGAATACTATAGATGAATTTTGAAGGTTCTTTTTCCAATCAGTAGCTCTCACGTTATTTCATGGCAAGTAAATAAAGTTTATAAAGTAAGTTGTAAACTATTTCTGGTTATGCAAGAAATGCGGCTTTGAGCACAGCACTGGGAGCTGAGGAAACTATAGAAAAGACCATAGTAAGGACTCATGAAAAATCTGTTAGAAGAAACAAGCTTTTTCCAACAGATTTGCTGGAAGAATGCAGGTGCCATGAAAACTACAAGTTGAGGCCAAAATGGGGAAGGAAAAGGTCTACAGCAACATCATCATCATTGAACATATCAATTTCAGCAAGTCCACCACTACTGGACATCTAATCTACAAATGTGGTGGCATAGAGAAGTTCAAGAAGGAGGCTGCTGAGATGAGAAACAGCTCCTTCAAGTATCCCTGGGTCTTCGATAAATGGAAGGCTGAGCGTGAGCCATTGGCATCTCTCTGTAGAAATTTGAGACCCAGGGATACCACCATTGATGCCCCAGGCACAGACACCTTATCAAGAACATGATGACAGGCATATCCCAGGCTGACTATGCTGTTCTGATTGTTGCTGCTGGTGTTGGTGAATGTGAAGTTCATATCTCCAAGAATGGGCAAACTGGTGAGCATGGCTTTCTGTTTTACACACTGAGTATGAAACAGCTCATGGTCAATGTTAACAAAATGGATTCCACTGAACTACTATACAGCCAGAGGAGATACAAGGAAATCACTAAGGAAATCAGCACCTACAGTAAGAAAATTGGCTACAACCCTGACACAGTAGCATTTGTGCAAATTTCTGGTTGCAATGGTGACAATATGCAGGAGCCAAGTTCCAATATGCCTTGGTTCAAGGGATGGAAGTCACCCGTAAGGATGGCATTGCCAGTGGAACCACCTTGCTAGGTGCATCCTGCCACCAACTCGTCCCATTGACAAGCCTTTGTACCTGCCCCTTCAGGATGCTTACAAAATTGGTGGTATTGGAACCATCCATGTGGGCCAAGGGAAGACTGGTGTTCCCAAACCTGGCTTGGTGGTCACCTTTGCTCCTGCCAATGTCACAACGAAGTGAATTGTGTGGAAATGCATCATGAAGCTTTGAGTGAAGCTCTTCCTGGAGACAATGTGGGATTCAATGTCAAGGACATGTTTGCTGTAGCAATGTTGCTGGTGACAGCAAGAATGATCCAACCATACAAGCAGCTGGCTTCACTACTCAGGTGATCATATTGAACCATCCAGGCCAAATCAATGCTGGCTATGCTCCTGTGCTGGCATTGCTTGAAAGATTGCTGAGCTGAAAGATAAGATTGACTGCTATTCTGGTAAGAACTGGAAGATGATCCTAAATTCCTGAAGTCTGGTGATGCTCTCATCATTGGTATAGTTCCAGACAAACCTATGTGTGTGAAGAGCCTCTCTGACTATCCTACTCTGGGTCATTTTGTTGTTCATGATGTAAAACAGGCAGTTGCTGTGGGTGTCATCAAAGCTGTGGACAAGAAGCTGGAAAAGTCACCAAGTTTCCCAGAAAGCTCAGAAGGCTAAATAAATATTATTCCTAACACCTGCCACTTCAATCTTAACCAGTGGTAGCACAGTCTCAGAATTGTTGGTCTCAATTAGCCATTTAAGTTTAATAGTATAAGACTGGTACAGTATGACACTTTGTAAAGCCCTCTGAAGGAAAGGAAAATACTTTGGGGATCCTTTTTTTTTTTGGTGTGGCAGTTTTAAGTTAATAGTTTTTCTTTTTAAATCAGTACTTTTTAATGGAAACAACATGACCAAAATTGTGCTATGGAATTTTGAAGCCCATTAAAACAAAGTTTAATGAGAAAAAAGAAGATAAAACAAAAGAAAATGGCAGACTTATGTAACTTTTAGTTTGTGCTGGCCTGGGTGCTATCTCTGGGCTTTTTTTTTTTTACTTAAGGCTTAATAGTGTTTTATCACTTGAGCCACAGCTCCACATCTGGCTTTTTAGTGGTTAATTGGAGATAGAAGTCTCATGGCCTTTCCTGCCTGGACTGGCTTTGAATTGTGATTCTTAGATCTCAGCTTCTTGAGTAGTTATAATTAAAGGTGGGAGCCACCAGTGCCTTGGCCAAAATTTTTTTTTAAATACCTGGACTTGTAATTTCAAATAATTCATAAAGTAGTAACTGCTTAGGAATAATAACTGAGTAAATCCAGTGACTTCCATTTTTTTCTTGCTTCTTCTTTTATTTTCTCAGGATAATTACTTGCAATCACTGTGGCCAATACTCCTGAGTTTCAAATGGAAATTATCTTTATATCATTAACATTTTTAGTTGATTCCAAGTTTTATTTGGCTGATATTCTAATCAAAACATATTTAATTATCTTAGTATGTTTGTTCTTCCTAAATTGTACCAACAGTTTGAATAATAATATCACTAGTAATATTCTAAAGACCAAAAAGATAACATCTGTTCCCTTTAAAGCAATAGCTTACAAAGTTATAGATCCTCATGCAAATGGATTGCTTCTACTACCAACAAAAAATTGGATGATAACTTGGATTAACCAAAGGGAGTGGAGAGAGACTCATGATGGTGCACAGAACTTCAATGAATGTTTTTACACAACAAATTCGGTATTTAAATTACACAGAGGGCTAGCAATTCCCTTCACAACACCCTTACTTTAGCTAAACATATTTGTACTAAACATATTTGAAAACTGAAAACTGTTAGATTTTTTAGTCATCCAAGAAAATATATGTTTGGTATAGCTTTAGTAATGTAAAACTCTAGGCAGTCTCAACTATATCAATAAGCTATTACACATTTATGTCAGAGTGATTAGAATATAATTTAAAACAATGAATGTTCTTGAATATTAGCACAGCAAAAAAATCTGACATTTTAACATAAAACACAATTGAAGTTTTTTGCTACCTCTGTATAATGTTGGCCTCTTTATACTACCATACAATTTTTCCATTAAATATTTTATACTTACTGGTATAAGAGTCATAGACTTTTAATCAACTGGGGAAATATTTTCTTACCTATTTTCTTCCTGATCCTCATACATCCGTCTCCTAGCATCCTGCCTCTTCACATAAGTGTATATCAGAAGTGGTACTCAACTCTTTGGTGGTTCTAGGTGACAGACTAAAATCAGTGTTGTGATGATGTAGTACTAAGGTTACTGGGCAACCAAGTAATGGTTAACTTTGTAAATTTAAGTGTATTACTTAATATTAGAACAATTAGGATTGCATATTATTCTTTACAATCATTATAGACATCTTATTTTAAGTTATTCATTTTTACCAACCTATAATTAAACTATATGAATAAACCTGAAGTTTAAAAAAATAGCATTAATTTACAGTTAAATATCAGAATACTAATGATTAAACAAGATCTGTATCTGGGCACTATTCTATATCACTATCATCATGTTGAACAATGACTATATAAAATGAGAAACTGTCTACATTATATAATACTATTAATGACAGGACTTCTGTTTTTATTAAAATGACAGGAATACAAATAGTAAATCAGCAAAATACAATGGCATTCAGGCTCTAATAGAAACATTAAATTAACCAAAGCCTATGGGAAGAAAAGAGATTAAGTAGATTTTAAGGAAAGGAAAAGAAAAGAACATCAATCAACTTTCTGTATTACAGACAGCTGCTATAGGCAAATAATAAAATAAAATGGCAATTAAGTTGATTGCAGTACTTTAATATTTTAAAGAAAACTTCTTAAAAATACAAATTTTTAAAGATCTTACATTCTTGACAGATATATCATCACCTACCTTTCTAAAAATAGAAGTAAACACAATTGTAGAAAATGCATGTTAATTAGTTTTAGAATGGTACAATAGTACAGATTTAAAACCCTGACACACTCCTCTTTCTGCTGCTTTGAAGTCAGACTGTGGCATGGAATTTATGTCAGGTTGGTTCCAAAATGCAATATTGGGTCCCAGGCCAGTGTTGTCAAACTGCCTATTTTGGCACAATTTCTCAGGCCATGAAAACATAAATCACAAAGAAAAAATTTAACCAACCAGTAATTTGAGATACCAAGAAAGTAAAGGAAATCAGTTTTGTAAAAACACTTTTCCCTCTTTTTTTTTAAGCTTCTTTATTTACTCCGGATAGTTAACAAAACAGTGTTCAATAGTGAAGTAAGCAGATTTTACACTCACTATTACTGTATGGATAGAAGAGCCATATGCATTTTTGTTTGTATATGTCATCTCAGATCACTGCAATATGGCACATGAGAACAGATTCAGAAGCACAAAATTAATAAAATTTAACACCGTCAAGCATTCAAAAGATAAATGCAATCATATAGCAAAAAAAAATCCGTCTGTAACTTTGACCTTTCCAAGGATGTGAAGAATCTTACTACATGTCAGAAGTCTCTATAGCAAAGATTCCTATAAGAGAAAAAAAATAATGCTGTTTAACCTATTTAACCCATCATGTGTTAAAATGCATTCTAGAATTACTTTGGCAAAACTTAACATTGGGGTTTTTTTTTGTTTTTTTTTTGGCTAGCCATCATGCCATATACCTATAATCTCAACATTTGGGAGACAGAGGCAGGAGGACTGTGTGTTCAAGGAATCATACGGTGAGTTTAAAAATAGCCCAAACTATATAGTGAGACCATGAATTTTTTTTTCTCTCCCAGCTCCATGGAATGCTTTTTTTTCTTTTTTTTGTGCTGGTCATGGGGCTTGAACTCAGGGCCTGAGCACTGTCCCTGAGCTTTTTTGTCCAAGGCTAGTGTTCTGCCACTTAAACCACAGCATCACTTCTGTCTTTTTTATGTTAATTGTAGATAGGCATATCATAGACTTTCCTGCCTGGGCTGCCACTAGCAACTGATCATGGTATATTATTTAACAATAAAAAAGAATAGACTGTTGATATGTATAAAAAAAACTTGGATGGGCATAATGAGTATTATGTTGAATAAAAAAATCTCCAAGGTTCCAGTCTGAAATGGAATTACCATTTCATTTATATAACATCCTTAAAATCATATAATTCTAGCAGTAGAAAAGACATTGGATGATAGGTGATAGGGGAAGGGAAAAAGATCACAATTATAACTAGTTATAAGTGAGTCTTTTAGTTCTGATGTAACAATTCAGTATCTTTGCTACTGCTAAAATACCATACACACACACAAATACGCACATGTGAAAAAAGAACATCAGTGACTTCTACACACTATCAGTCATATTATAAGAATACCAATTACCAATTTATTGGTTTGTAAGATTTACTATTTAGAAGTTGAGGAAAGGATGTCTGAAACTCTGTAGTTTAGGAACTATCTCCAGGGTTATACTCATTTAAAAAATCATTTGGGCACATCCATACAATGATTTGAAGTACTATTCAGCAATTAAAAGGAACATTCAAGAACTAATCCTGCAACAATCTGGATAAATCTTAACATGTTATGCTTAACAGAAGTCAGGTACCAGAGGCGCGCGCGCGCGCGCGCGCACACACACACACACACACACACAAACACGATAGATAGATAGATAGATAGATAGATAGATAGATAGATAGATAGATAGATAGATAGATAGATAGATAGATAGATCACTATCAACTTAGAAAAGAAAAAAACAGAAGTACAAGAAATAGAATAGTGGTTAAGAAAAGTAAATTAAACTTATTGCCTATTGCAGATGATTGGTAGTTGTCAAAGGGCAGTATCTAAAACTGACAGTAAAAAATTAAGGGCAGTAGGGGCACATTACTAAAGGAAACAACTAAAAGAAAGTAAAAACCTTTCCAAACATCACAAGTAATTTACTGAAAATCAAAGAAGACTAATCAAATGGACACACAGAAAATATTGCAAGATGCTGACAGTAATAATAATATACTACAGCCAAACATAAGTCATATCAATAACGTGAAGGATTTCAACTTGCCTATTAAAAATATGTTAAAATGGCTTATACAGGAGGATGAGATCTGAAAATCATGGATGTGAAGCCAACCCTGGCAGCAAAGTCCATAAGACACTTATCACCAATTCACCACCACAAAGACAGAATGGAGCTGTGGCTCAAGTGGTAGCTCGCTAGCCTTGAATGGAAAATTTCAGGGAACAGCACCCAGGCCTGGGTTCAAGCTCTGGGACATATATGGACACACACACACACACACACACACACACACACACACACCTTATGTAGCAAAACTCAAATCCATATCTTATAAAAAAGGTATATTTAAAATGTAGGAATTCACAAAGCTAAGTAAAGGTAAATGGAGACAATAAGAAAACAGGAGTGTGAACTCTAACATCATAGTACCAAACAAAAATGTGAATGGATCTGAAAATTATACTTTATGAAAACTCTAGTCCATAATAAAGAATGTCTACCAGACTATCTATCTATGCAATAAACACAAAAGCAGGCTACTTATATAGAATTTTATAGAAACAAAAAGTAAAAATTACTCCTAATAGGAGATTTTAAAACATTACTTTCAGTACAAAAAGGTCAAGTATAAAATAATTAAGCACTGATATAAAAGTAAAGTTTTCATAATAAAAGTAAAGTTTTCCAATATATATTGGATACTATACCTTTGTAAGAAAGAATATACATTCTCAAGTGTATGTTAATTATTCATAAAAGGTCATTTAGTAAAACCTAAAGAATATTATATGTTTTATACAATACAAATGCTAAAGATAATGTTCAATAATGTCAGAAATTAAAAATGAAACAAAAGAACAAAAACCCTTCTTCCTAGAAATTAAGTGATTTTCTATCATCACTATTGAAGAAGTGAACATAAAAACAAATTTTAAAAATTCAGGAAAATAATAATGATACATATCCAAATCTGTGGAATACATTTTAAATAGTAATAAAAAAACACAACCTCAAAAAATATCTACATCAATAACACCTATATCAATAAAATCAATAAACTATCAATAAAATAAAATGTGGCAATAAATGAACTTCCAAACCCAAAAGCTAGTGGAAAACTTGAATTAATTAAAAACACAGGAAACATCTTTCATCGCTAATGTTCACTAGACACAATGATCATCGGTATTTATATGGAGAAAGAATATGAACAATTAAGACTATCCTCTCTGAAGGTGGCTTAGTGGTAGAGAGCTTGCCTAGCACGCATGAAGCCCTGGGTTTGATTCCCCAGTACCACACACACAGAAAAAGCTGCTGTGGCTCAAGTGGTAGAATGCTAGTGTTGAGCAAAAGAACCTCAGGGACAGCGCCCAGGCCTTGAGTTCAAGCCCCAAGACTAGAAAAAAAAAAATCTATCTCCTTGGTACATCACCTTGACAATAAAATTAAAATTTAAAAATATCTATTATAAAAACCTGCTAAAGAATGGTGGAATCACTTTAGGAGTATAAAAATGTGTGTATCCTTGATTTTTTTTTAAATTGAACTTATTGTTTTTTTTAAAAACACAGCAATATTGAAGGTAAAATAAAATCAAGCTCGATGACCATAAAAAAAGAAACACACAATAAATAACAAAAAGAAAGTATATTACAATAAAAAGATCAAAACTAGTCATTGAAAATTCAAATATTTTGAAGCAATGAACGGAGTAAACAAACCACACTACCTTATGTAATCAAGAAAAAAGAATGTGGCGGGGAAATGTACACGATACAAATAAGACATGAAAAGAAGGATATGATCATTGATACAGAAGAAATTTGAAAAGTTCTAAGATGCTATACTTTCAAATAAATTTAAAACAGGATGAAATGAGTACATTTTGGCCAATGAAAGTAAAAATAGCTTAAAAAGATAGATTCCATGTCTATGATATTCTTAGCAGGGGATCTCTCTAACCCAATAGCTAAGTGCACAGGACCAGGTATAATGAAGAGTATCGACATGAACTCCAAAGATTGGAAACAGAGGCTCTTATTATGTCCTGTATGCAGTTTTTCTTTTTTTTCTGTTTTAGTTTTCTGTACCTTTTGTCTTGTATAAGTTTATCTGATCCATGAAAAGGAAAGGGAATCACAGAAACAGCAGCAGGACAAAGGATGAACTAATGCAACAATGGCACTCACTAGACACTATATTGGCGGGGGGAGTAGGGAAGGGTAAGCAGAAATAAGAAAATGAGGGAGGGGGTAACTGTGTTTAAAAAAGAAATGTACTCATTACCTTATTTTACTTTACCTTACTCATTACCCCCACTCATCAGCTTTACAATAAAGATATTTTGTAAAAAGATAGATTCCCAGAGAATAAACATAACATTATCTAGGAAATACTCAGACAAAAAATATAACAAAAGCTATGTGGTTTAGACAAGTGAATTTAACCAAATCTTTAATGCTCAGATAGTTCCAACATGGTTTCAAAAGCTGACAAAATATAATTGAAGACATAAAAATAGGGTTGAGGAGGTATCTTTACAGATGACATGTCAGTACACCTAGAAAAACCTAGAAAATAAAAGACAAAACATAATGACATCCAGGAACTGGGGGCTCAAACCTGTAATTCTAGCTACTCAGAGGCTGAGATATGAGGATCACAGTTCGATGCCAACCCAGGCAGAAAAGTCCATGTCGGACCCTTATTTCCAATAAACACTCCACTCAAGTGGAGCTGTGGCTCAAGTGGTAGAGCACGATCCTTGAGCACAAAGAAGCTCAGTGACAGCACCCAGGCCCTGAGTTCAAGCCCCAGGGCCAGGGAAAAAAAAACTTAACAACAAAATAAAATAATTTAGCAAAGTAGCAGGATAGAAAATGTAATACACAAAAATAAATAATATTTTTCACTTAACATCATGTTATATGGTCATATGTACAAAGATTTTGACCTTTTCTGCTTGTCCTAGACATATACTTGTTATTGCAGATAAGGGAAACCATGGGAACTATGTTTCTTTGGGCCTGGCTTACTTCACTTAATATAATTTTTTTCAAGTCTTTCCATTTCCTAACAAATGGGGCAATGTCATTCTGATGGAGACATAGAATTCATATATATATATATATATATATATATATATATATATATATATATGTATGTATGTATGTATGTATATATATGTATGTATGTATATATATACATACATATATATCACATATATATATACATATATATATATCACATTTTCTTGATCCATTCATCTACTGAGGGCAAGATAGGGACACAAGAGGTTTTGTCTTTCTTGCTGTTGTTTCTAACATATTTATAATGTACTATGTGATTTTTTTGTATGTTCTTCCCCCATGGTACAACCCCTGTTTTTACTGTATTTGATTCCAGTGCCCTGCATCTTGTATATACATTTTTGTAATTTGGGAAAGGGAAGGGAAATAACAAAATGCTGATATAAGGATACAGGTTGACCCATTGTAGCAATAAGCTGTACAAGACACTATGTTGAAAACGAACTTTACAACTTGTGGTGGGGGGGGGAGTTGGAGAGGTGGGGTGGGAAAAGATGGTAGGGAAAAACAAAGGAGGAGGTAACAATGCTCGATAGGAAATATACTCATTACCTTATTCATGTAACTGTAACCCCTCTGTACAGTATATTTACAATAAAAATATATACTGAAAACATAAATAGTACTTTTGAAGATATAATGAATGGAATCAACATTTACAATAACAAACAGCTACAATAGAATAACCTTAACAAAGAATGTCCAAAACCAATATAAATAAAAGCACAAGAAATTCCTGAAGAACAGAAAAGAACGAACAAAATGACAACGCCTCTTCTTGATTAGGATGTCCCTATATGATCAAGATATCAGTTCTCCCTTATTTAATTTGTAAACTCAATGTGATCCTAAGAAAAATTTCAAATGGTTTTCAAAATCTTACTAGACAAGATGACCCTAAAATCCACATGGAAAAATAAACTCAAAAAATACAGGAAGAGGTGTTAGGCAGCACATGCCCATTGCTGTCCTAGGACTGGCATGCAGCTGATTGTAAATATCTAAAACTTCTGTGATTTTTATGGTTAAAGCCATTGTCAGCTTGTTAGGTGGAAGTATTTACATAATAGAAACTAACTGCTACAGATGGGGCTTCTCTCCTCCTCTTTTGTAGAACCTGTATACCAGTATACTATTGGGCAATATTTCTATAAAAGTAAACCTTTGAAGTTTAAAATAGTGTAGGAACATGCACATGAATAGGCAGCACAGAAAGTTCAGAAAGAGACTTGAATCACTGGGACAGAGGTTTGTAAATAAATTATTTTGGGACCACTGGATAATCCTTTGGAAAAAAAAAACAGATCTCCAATCCATACACAAACTATTAGTGAATATGACATCTAAACATGACAAGTAAAACTATACTCATATTCCTAGCTATTAGGGAAACAGAAATAGATTTAAAGTCAGCCTGGGCAAAAAGTTTATGGAACTCCATCTCAACCAATAAAAAGGTAGGTGTGATGGTATGTGCCTGTTATTCTAACTACAGTGAGAAACATAAAGTATGAGGATTGCTGTCCATGCTGGCCAGGAAGGCCATAAAGGCCTTCCTTGTTTGGGAGCATGGTACAAGCAGGTTAAGCTCTATCTAACAAGGGCAAGACTAGGAGTTCACACCCCAGTTCCACTAAAAATAAATAAAACTATGTGAAAACTGGTGAATATTATCTGGGTATACAGATTTTCTAACTATGAATATACATCCATATTATTCAGGAAAAGTGTTTTAAAATTTGACTTCATAAAAATAAAATCATTTATATAGAAAAAACAATCACAAGTACAATTAAAATAACAAATGACAAACTTGTAGTATGTATCACTGATAAGGGGATAATCTCCAACATTTATTTTTTAATTTATCAAAAAGATAAAAAAAGTCCATTAGTAAAAGAAATGGGTAATGCAGAAAAATATTTTTAAATAAGCCATTAAGCCTATTAAAAGATACTTGAATCATAGCAACAGAAACTCAAAACTACATTGAAATACCATTTCTCATCCATCATGTTGTCAAAAATTCAAAGTCTAACAGTATAGTACTCTGCTGGTAAGGCTAACAAGAAACAGACACTCATACACTGAAAGGAGTGTAATAAAGGTACCACATGTATGGGGGAGATTTAATACTACTTAAGTATACATATAAATACATATGTATTTGACCAAGAAATCCCCTATCTAGGAATTTCTTCTGAAGATACTTCTCTAGTTATATGAAAACATATATGCAAATTATCCATGACAGCTTTGTTTCTTAGTAGAAATTATTGTAAATTATATGTATGTCCAGCTATAAAAGATTGGTTGCAAAACTATGGTACATTAAAAAAATAGAGTATTAAGTAGCCCTAAAAAAGGAATAAAGAAAAACTCCATGAATCAATATGAAAGAAGATGTTAAGGGAACACTGTTGAGTGTTTTACACCTGTAAACCTGCTAGTTATTCAGAACGTTGTAATGGGATTGTGGTTTGAGGTCACTTGGAGCAAAATGTTTGCAAGACTTCTCAAACAAAAGCTGGTGCAGTAGAGGATGACTATCATCTCAACTATGATGGGAAACATAAAATATGAGGATAGAGATCAAGGCACATACTCTAGCAAAAAGCAAAATCCTATCTTAACCAATTCAAAAAATGGGCTGGTACTGTGTTGTATCAGTACAACACCTGCCTAGCAAATAAGAGGCCCTGATTGCAAGCCCCGGTGAAACAAAAGCAGAACCATATATAGCATCCAATTTCCATGAAAAGGGAAAAATAAGAACTATATATACTTTACTATAAAAATGATTACAAAGGAATGGCCTAGAGGAGAATGGAGGGCATACAAGCAAAGACGACATTTTTGTAAGTACTAATTTTTAACGAAATTTGACTTTTAAAAGCATGATAGTCTATATATTCAAAAATGAACTTAAGGTATAAATTAAAACGAGAAAAAGATGTGCCAGTGGCTCACAACCTGTAATCCTAGCAACTCAAAAAAAAAAAAAAAGCTGAGATCTGAAGACTGAAGAGTCTATGAGACTCTTATCTCCAATTGCCCAGCACAAAAAGCCAAAAGTGGTGCTGTAACTCAAGTGGTAAAGTGCTAGCCTTAAGCGAGAAAGCTCATAAACAGCACCGTGGCCCTGAGTTTAAGCCCCATGATAGGCACAAAAGAAAAAAATGCAAAATGAAACAACTTAGTCTAATATTATTTTGAATGCATATAACCATAACCACAATAGAAGGGAAAAATATTTTAGTAATATTTGAACTCAGTATTTGACTCTCTCTGTTTCTCTCTCTATATATGCATATTACATACATACAGTTCTTTGGCAAGATAGTATATGGGAGTAGGAATAAAGGATTGCAGACTGATCGTGAACTTCAAAGTCAAGTTAGTCTGTTTACTGTAGTGACACTGATACCTTCTTGAGCTAAGTAAATGAGCAAATTACATTGATGAGAAAACATCAATGTAGTGAATGTGTTGGTGTTGAACTAGGGTTCTCACCATAGAAGAAAGAAGTAAGACTTTTGAGGGTGCTTTGAAATCAGAGGTATTGATTGTGCATGTATGTGTCTGCATGTAGAGGGAAGGGGATCTGCAGGAGAGTGAGTGCAGGAGACAGCACCTGTATATATGATCAAAACAATGGGAAACAATTTAACAATAAGTCTAAGTAAATGACATTTATTTTTGTAACTTCATGCAAATTTTAAATTATTAAGTAAAAGGTTTTTTTACAAAATTCATACAGACATGTGACATTGAAATAATTTAATTATTGAAATCTTTATTTTTATATCCACACATCCCGGCAATCATGTTTAAACATGTTTCCTTACTTGCTCCAATAATCACTGGGTATATTATTACATATTCTCAAGAGAACAGATCCTTGAGTGGACTTACTCTTCTAGTGATCGGTCTAGTCCTCGGTCAGGAGATCGATGGTGAGCACGTTCTGGTGAATGACATTTTGAATTTGGCTTCATTGAACTCATATGATAAGCATTACTTGAGTAATTTTGGCGGCGAAGTTCTTGGACAGCTCTTTCCCTAAAGCAAAATGGTGATGTTTTAAAATTTTATATTCACTCATATTAATAAAACTGTCACATCATTGCAGCTCAGTACATACTTTAAAAATCCATCATGAGATAATCAAACCTATTGTAGAGCTGGATGTGGTAGTGTGCACTTGTAATATATATTAGCACTTGGGAGACCACTTTAGGAGGATTACAAATTTGAGGCCTGCCTTGGCTACAAAGTGAGACATGTCTCAAAAGATAAACAAAAAAGCCCAAATAGAACCTATTTTTACTTTGGCTTTCTAGGCTAAATATTACATAGAGATAAACTTACCTTTCAAAGCGTTCTGTCCCTAACTGTCTTTTAGTAATGTCTAAATCCGCTTCCAATTGTGTTACAACATTTCTGAACTGGGCCACATCTCTACTCTGGATGGCCCTGTGTAAATGAAGATAATAATGGTAGTTAATTAAACTCAAAATATGGCTGCAACTCCTAGAATATATTAAACTATGTTGACAATGGTTTCTCAGCTGTATCCAAGTCACACTGTGATTTTTATAGACAGGTTTATTTTACATGTATTAAATATGTAAACTAGTTTAAAAAACTTAAGTAAAACTAGTCTTATTCAATTAAACATTTTGTTTTAATTTCTCTATGTATAGTGAAGTATTGTATTATCTAGCTATATTATCTACTTAGTGCAAATAATTTTTTAGAAGTACCTTGAAGTATCACATATATGTTCATTATGATGATCAAATTAATACTGGGATTCGCTAGCACTATGATTGATATGGTCTGTTTTATTAATTCAATTGAGTGCTTTCTACTTAAGATGGACTTTAATATACAGCATTACAAACATAAAAACTCTGCAGTTTAACAGGACTTTCCTTAGGCCTAAGCAATGCTTCAAAAACCCTGTGATAGTCACATCATGACGATAGTGACAGATGAATGCTCCTTGCACAGAACATTCTATCCTCTTTGCTAGCTTTTAGGATGTCAGTACAGACTGCTGAAATATAAATGTGAAAGATTAAGAAAAATTTATCATGCTTGCTAGTTTTAAGTAATGGTACTTACCAGCCAGTCTAAATACAGAGTGTACCCCTTGAGGTGGGAAATTTCCTCCTACCAGCTTGAGAAATGAGGCTCACATAACTGGTTGAAGGTATCAAAATAGCTCTGCTACAGTAACTGAAAAAAATGACTCAGTCATATCTGCCAGCACCAGTGATCAACTTTTGATGGAAACAGGCTCTGGTTTTGTGGTCCTTGCTAACCTAGGGCTTCTAGGAGCTGTTGAATGCTGAGACCATGTGTTCTCTATTTCCTAGGTCCTAGGGTAGTGGCTTACTGAAAGCATGCCATAGATAGGGCAGATAAGAACACACGCTAAGGATTCCCATTAGTTTTTGTTAGAGGTGATCAAGTTTAATAAAAGAAATTTTTATTGACTATCCAGGCAGACATTTTACCCCAAATCTCCAGTCAAGGTCTTTTCCAAATAAAGTGCTAAGGGATAGTGTTGCTACAGATTACTGAAAAAGCCAGAATCAATGTTCTAGGAAATGTTTAGTATTTCTTCAGAATGTTCAGCGCTCTTTCAAGTATCAAGTATATATTTATAGGTACATAAGGAAATATTATGTGGCAAATGGAAAGGCTAAGATAGCAATAGTAGATGGTTCATAAATATACAAATTCTTGTTTTCCAGTGCCTAATTCTTTCTACTCTGCTTATATTTCTTAAAAGCAGTTATTTTAGATTGGACATCCTATCATACACTAAATCCTACAGGAAACAATCAGCAGCATTATTAAACTTAAATGTCTTAAAAAGGAAAAAATAATAGATAATAATACTATATCTTAGGCAAATCACAATACTTCTGTACTTCAGTTTCATTAATGGCAAATTATGGGGACTAAAATCTCTAGATTCAAGCTTTAGAATTCAAATAATTTATTCTAATAATAATAATAATTCTATTCTAATAATCCATAAAGTATCAAAAACTTAAGTGTTACTTTATGTTATTATATTGCTAGCCAACTCACATTTTATTTTCTGCCAAGCAAAGATGCTCTTTAAGAAGCTGAATTTCAGATTCTTTTTCTTGAAGTGCTATCTGAGACTGATATTCTTTGTCTCGATTGGCCACCAGCAAAGCTTCTAGATTCTGCATGGAGATTCTCTCATTTGTCATTTGACTCCTGAGGAGTTCTATTTCAGAACGAGCAGAATCTAACTCATTCTCCATCTATATAACAATAGAAAGACATCTATACTTATTTCCATTCATTCACTTAACTGACATATATTATCAAGGACTTATACATTTTTGTAGTATGTTATAAACAATCACTTTTAATATCTGAATTTGAAATTATGTTCTCTCCTTAGCAAATACATATACTACATTTATTATCCAATGCAACTTTCACATCCTCTGATCATCAGAAAAGTTATTAATTCATCAACTTCACATGCAATGAATTTTGATTTCCAGTTTTGATGTTTCTTTGTGCATTTCTGTACAACTGATATAATATCTGTGGTTCTCACTTTCAGTAAAGGGGCTATAAGCCTGTACTGTATAGATATAGAATATACAGAACAGATTTATATTCCCTCTCTTGCTTAGACCTGCAGAGAACTTTTCTTTTTGAAGATTATGAGCCAAAACTATGTACTGAAAGCCAAATATTTCTCTTAAAGAGGAATATTGATATTCAGAAAACACTATAAGAAATTGTTCCTTATCCCATAATATAATAAATCATGTACTAAAAATGAAATGTATGATTTATCCAATAGAGCAAAACTAGGCCACACTAAAGCTACCAGCACAACCATGTTTAATGTAGCATTATTTACCATAGCCAAAATATAGAATCAGCATAGATGCCCTTTGAAAATGTAGTATACATACACAATAGAATTCTACTTGTACCATTTGTAAGGAAATGGAAAAACTTGGAAAAAAAAGTCTATTAAGCTCAGTAAGCCAGACCCAAAGAAACACAGGTTGCATGGTTTCCATTATCTGTGGGAGCTAGAATGTGCCTATAAATCTGTAAGTACACACTAGGTGGTATGCAAGTGGTTACAAATGAATTAACTGAAGTATAATAAACTCTATGGAGAGTTCAAATAATATAATTCTTTTTAAGGAAAACTAAGTCAAAAACCAACAAAATGCCATGAAAATGAGTACTTGTGCAAGAGGGGAGGGTGGGGCCAAGGTAAGAGGGGTAGAAGAATGAAGAGGAGAAAAGGAGAGAATGCAGGCAAGAATTCATTGTATATACCACAGAATTGAGAAAAATAAAGGGTGGGTCAAAGGGCGGTGAAGATGGTAAAGGAATGACCAATCAAGATGCAGTGTATATATGAACTGCTTTGCTAAATGGCAAAAAATTCAATGTATAACCTAAAATTATGGCAACTCCTTTGTACAAATACTTAAAGATAATAAAAATATTCAAAAAAGATAATCTCAACATTCCAGTGATATTAATAAAAATAAGATTACTAGGAGGGAATGCCAAGTACAGCTGTAAAAAGATAGGGGAAAAACATTTTGAGCTAGACATAATGCAGGCTGAAGAATTGCCTCTACAAAGCCTTCTTAGTAAAACTTTTATTCCAATTTATATGTCAACACTGGAAGATCTTTTAGGTCAGAAGCCTATATATTTTGAATGTTATATTTTAAGTGGCAGGCATTCTATCAGGCACAAAGTGGATACAATTAACTCAATTATAATTTTTTAAAACTTAGTAAATAGAGATTAAAAGCATATCATTAGCCAGGAACCAGTGGCTCACACCTGTATTCCTAGCTATTCAGGAGGCTGAGATCTCAGAATAGTGATTCTTAGCCAGCCTGGGCAGAAAATTATGTGTTTATCTCCAATAAACTACTCAGAAAAAGCCAGAAGTGGTGTTGTGGTTCAAGTGGTAGAGCACTAGCCTTGGGCACAAAGAGGCTCAGAGCAGTGTCCATGCCCTGAGTTCAAGCCCCAGGATCATCAACAAAAAACAAACAAAAAAAGGAATACCATTATAATTTTAGCTGAATAACCTCTGACCTCATTATACTCTGCTGACTGCTATGTCAACAAGCTTTATAATTCTACTAATAAAAAGTCGCTGCAAACTGTATACATTCAAGGAACAATTTTCATGTTCTTTAATTTCTTGGAACATAGTGTCATATATTTACTCCTTATATTTTAAGAATAAAATCTAATAAAAATCTAAAAAATAACAGATAAAACCTTAAATCGAAAGAAATGGCTTGCCATACTATTCTATAAAGAATTGTTCTGTGGTATGGTAGTAATATTACAGAAATAGCAATTTGTGAATGTTTTAGTAAGGATTTATTTTAGCATGATAAGATTAAAGTACAGAAAAATAGAGAAACTCTTCCTGCTCTCCGTAGAAGAAATGGAAGTTAGATACTTCTAGCAACAGCAATTCTTTATAGAAGTTTTGTAAAATGTATTACATACCATTTCTATTTCTTGATCTTTAGCAACCAGCTGCCGATTCAGAAGCTCTTTGCTTGAGTCAAGTTTAATACAGAGTTCCCTTGTGGAAGACAAATCTGCAAGTGCAGATACTTTTTCAAACTGAACCTTCTGAAGCTCTTCTTCCATCTTCACAACAGATTTATGTAAGGTTGAAATCTGGGACTTGTAAGACCTTTCTGCATTTAAGTGCTATAAGGACAAAACATTTGATAAATATACATATATATAATTTTTTTAAACTATAACATGGAACATAAAGTGGGGCAAACCTTAAAAAAATACTAATTCACTTAGACCATAGGAAGACCATAGAAAATACTGGTGGTGACTCTATGTTATGAAACCCTCTAGAAATGATACATTCAGGTTTAAGGTTTCTTTACATAAAATTTATGAGCAAGGTGGTCACCTAGCCATTAAAAATATTCTTAGGAGGAAACCTTTCCTACTTGAAAGTTTCCAGGCCCAAAACTAACTGAGATATAATTCATGTTTGGGTTACAGTTCTATTTCCAATTTTAACCATTCAGCAATATAAATGTTGGCAAACACAAAATGTTAGCCACTGCTTCATTCATAGGACCCATTTGTTTTGTTCTCATCTTATATGTTGATATCAATCACAGTATCATAAAATGAGGGCTGATAATTCTCTAACACTAATATTTCTGAGGGAAAGGGATTTGGGGCAAGAATAAAAATATATGCAATTATAAGAAATAAGAGCCAGGTGCCAGTGGCTCATGCCTGTAAGTAATCATAGCTACTCAGGAGGCTGAGATCTGAGGATTGTGGTTCAAAACAGCCTGGGCAGGAAAATATGTGAGACTTATCTCCAATTAGCAACCAGAAAACCAAAAGTGGCTCTGTGGCTCAAGTGGTAGAGTGCTCATCTTGAGCTGAAGCTCAGGAACATTGCCCAGGTCCAGAGTTCATGCCCCACAACCCACAAAAAGGAGGAGGAGGGGGAGGAGGAGGAGTGAGAGGAGGAGGAGGGGGAGGAGGAGGAGTGAGAGGAGGAGGAGGGGGAGGAGGAGGAGTGAGAGGAGGAGGAGGGGGAGGAGCAGGAGGGGAAGGAGGAAGAGGAGGAGAAAGGAGCAGGAGGAATGGTGGTGGTTGAGGTTTGTGTGACTCACACATGTAATACCAGCTACTTGGGAGGTGGAGATCAGCCCAGGCAACAAGTTATTGAGATATCATCTCAAACAAGCTGAGTGCTGTGGTGGAGGTTTAGGTAAGAGGATTGAAGTCCAGGGATGGCCCCAGAAGAAAATTAGACCACTTGAAAAATAAAATAAAGCAAAAAAGGATTTGGGGCATGGTTCAAGTGGTAGAACAAGTACAAAGCCTTGACTTCAAACCCTGATAGCATAAATAATACATGAGATTCAAGTTTTATAAATGTCTTCAAAGTTTCATAGTCATCAGGTTCATGTTTTGAGAAGATCACTTGAGATATTTTAGGCTCTAATAAGATGGTTGATTAAGTTAAAAGCAGAATTGTCTGGATAACACTGAATAATAAAAGTATCTTTTTCAATTCATATTTAGAAAACAGAAAAACCCATTTCCCCAAAAAAAGGAAGAACTGAAGCTATGTTTAAAGATGAAAAGACCCAATAACACAGCAACATATCTTTTTTTTTTTTTTTTTGGTCCAGTAATGGGGCCTGAACTCTGGGCCTGGGCACTGTCCCTCAGCTCTTCAGCTCAAGGCTACCGCTCTACCACTTGAGCCACAGCACCACTTCCAGCTTTTTTATTTTTTCTGCTTATGTGGTGCTGAGGAATCGAACCCAGGGCCTCACGCATGCAAGGCAAGCGTTCTACCACTGAGCCACCTTCCCAGCCCCCACAGCAGCATACCTTTATCAAGGAAGTATAGGAAATAAGGATTTAGGACCACTGGAGAGTTAGAGCTGAGAACTTTAGGGTTAAGGTATGCTCCGTGGTAGAGCACAAAACAAGACAAAATGAAACAAAAATGAGCTACATAATCTGGGATCCCTGAATGCCATATTATAAATGAAAGGGGGTTCAGGGGAGGGAATCCATTCAGTCTCACAGAAAGATCATAAAGAAAGATCTTAATGTGAACAATAACAAAAGACAGACTTACAAAGAATAACAATTAGAATAAAAATGGATGTTTCAACAAAAAAGCAAAAGTTATTTTTGTTTTAAGAAATATTCTCAGCCTAGAACTCTATGCTCAAATAAACTAATTTTCAAGATTGAAGAAGGAATTAGTCTTGAAAGTAATCCAAAGTCATTTTAGACACAGATTGAGAAAATGAATTGTAGAGTTTTGTTTAAAGAAAGTTCTTTTAAAAAAAAGAAATTAATTGGGTGGGGGGCGGGGAAAGGATGGGAAGGGATGGGAAGGGGAAACAAAGGAGGAGGCTACAATCCTTGATAAGAAATGTACTCATTATCTTGCCCATGTAATTGTAACCCCTCTGTACAGTATTTTCACAATAAAAAATGTTTATTAGGGGGGGAGGATTGGGTGGGGAGATGGGGGGGGAGGGTGGGAAGGGATGGAAAGGGGAAACAAAGGAGGAGGCTACAATGCTTGATAAGAAATGTACTCATTATCTTGCCCATGTAATTGTAACCCCTCTGTACAGTATTTTCACAATAAAAAAAAGAAAAAAGAAAAAAAAAGAAATTAAACTTGGAAGGAATAGAATGCAAGTCACAATGATGAAGGACTGGGGCATGTCTCACAAGGTAGAGTATTTGCCTAGCAAGCTTGAAGCCTTGAGTTCAAACCCCAGTACTACTAAAAACAAAGGAAGGAAGGAAGGATAGAGAGAAAGAAAGGAAGGAAGGATAGAGAGAAAGAAAAGAAAGAAAGAAAAAAGAAGAAAGGAAGGAAGGAAGGAAAAAGAGGAAGGAAGGGGGGAGGGAGGAAGGGAGGAAAAGAAAAGAAAAAAGAAGTAATGAAGAGTAAAGATTTTGTAAACATATGGGTAGATACAGTTAAGTATTGACCAAATGAACCATAATAATGAATTGTTTGGGGAAATACAAAAAGACAAGCTGAAACTAAAGAAGTATACAACAATTACATGAAAGATTAGTGTATGTGTGACAGTGAAAGAGCAAGAAAGTACGTAGGATAAGGAGCTGAGTGTTCATTGTTTAAATATTCTTAGATAGACATTATTTAGAAGGAGAGTTGGTGATATTAACAATAGACTTTGTTAAATATACATTACAATTGTAAATTCTACAGGAATAAATATAAAATATATAACTTCCAAACCTAAGAGCAGTGGTGGATAGAGGTAAAGAAAATAACCATAATAAGTAGAAAACATGAAATAAATAGGAAAGTATTTAATCTAAATGTACTAATAATACAAATAAATGCAAATGATTAAGCTTATCAGTTAATAAATATTATTGGATTGGATTTTTAAGTCATGTTATATGATGTTTATTCGAGACAAACAGCTGGGAGCAAAGAAATTAAAAAAAAAAACATATATCATGCTTCTGTTTCCACAACAGCATAAATGGGATAGAACATATCCTCTCATCATTAAAAAACAAAACAATCCTGGCTTAAGCTACTTTCAGACGCTGAACAAAATGCAGCTGTCATGTTTGAGAGAAGAAAAAGAACCAAGGACAATCCCTATGATCACCCAGCTTTCTGTCTGGAGAACCTTTCCAGTCCATTGTTTAAGGAGGGAAATTCCAATCAGAGTACAATGATTTTGCCAAGGTGTGTCATAAATATAAAGAATCTATACCCACACACACACACACACACACACACACACACACACACACGATCCCCAGAATGCACCTAATAGTTGTCTTGAGTCTGCTGAATACTAAGACATGAATGTCTATGGGCAAACTCCTGAAGACTGAGTTAAGAACATACATGGAGGGGCTGGGAAGGTGGCTTAGTGGTAGAGTGCTTGCCTTATATGCATGAGGCCCTGGGTTCGATTCCTCAGCACCACATAAGCAGTAAAAGCCGGAAATGGCACTGTGGCTCAAGTGGTAGAGCGCTAGGCTTGAGCTGAAGAGCTGAGGGACAGCGCCCAGGCCCAGAGTTCAAGCCCCACAACCAGCAAAAAAAAAAAAAAAAAGAATATACATGGAGCTCTATGATAAACAGTTGCAGAGTTTGAATCTGTCATAATAGTGAGTCCTTAATGGACACCTTTGGCAGTGTTCTTTTTATAGATGCCTCAGAAAGGCCAGACTTAAACTGAAAAGCTAAACCACTTGCATAGGAAAGGCTACTTAAGACCTGACCCATCAAGGTTTAAGAACCATCTGAAAGGGAGCAGTTGGGCTAGGCATTAGTGTATCATGCCTATAATCCTAACTTCTCAGAAGGCTGAGATCTAAGAATCATGTTTCAAAGGAGGCCTAGGCAAGAAAGTCTGTGAGACTCATCTCCAATATTAAGCACCAAAAAAGCCAGAAGTCAAGCTGTGGCCCAAAGGGCCACAGAGGTACACAGTTTTAGTTTTAAGTGAAAAAAACTCAGATACCGTGCACTAGGCTCTGAGTTCAAGCCTCAGTAATTGGGGAGAAAAATTCTAGACATATAAACTTGAGGAAAAACATGCCCCATGATCAGAACAAAAAGCCAGTGTAAGCATGCAAAAATAAGAGATGTTATAGTATTAGAAGATAAAGCCTTACGAGCAAATATTATCCAGATTAGAGGGAATAAAGGTCTGAATTTCCATGTTTCTATAAATAAAAATATAGACAAAATACAAGGGGAAAAGCTTTCAAATAACAGTAGTGCTGGGCATTCGTGCTGGGCACTCTTGCCTGTAATCCCAGCTACTGGGAGGCTGAGATCTGAGCATCACAGTCCACAGCCAGCCTAGGCAGGAAAGTCCTTAAGACTCTTATCTTCAATGAACTTCTAAAAAGTCAGAACTGGAGCTGTGACTGAAGTGGTGGTATGCTAGCCTTGAGCAAAAATGCCCAGAGACAGTGCCCAGGCCCTGAGCTTGAGCCTCAGGACCAGCACAAAAACAAAAACTAATAACAGATAGAAAATAGCACAGAATATGATCATCACAAAAAGGAAGGTAAACCCCAAAGTAACAGAATGTCTTGCCTAGTTGTAAATTCAGGATGAAAATTTAGGAAGTAGGAATCAAAATACAGTCTAATGATCTCACTGTGATTAAGAGACAAGA